CTGGGGGGGGGGGGAGATGGCCATGATCTTTGTTGTTCTTTGTCACTTTGCATCAAATTTTTGTGAGTAAACAGTTGCAGAATGGATTAACCCTTACGTTAATCCTTAGGCAAATAACACTGACCCTTATGGGGAAATTTGACTTGGCTCACGACCAGTTTGGGTCACGACCAGAGTCCTGGAACAGATTAAGTTCGTGAGCCAAGGTACCACTGTAGTAAGAAAAACATGTTATCTAATGTTATCTAATGAAATTTTTAAAAGCCAGACACCGAGCATGAGGCTTGTATGTGGCCATATCAACCTCTTGTTACATGTACAAAAGCACAAAACTGTTGCTATAGAGGTTTAGCATAAGCAACATTCTCCCCACCATTCAAATCCTCCTGCACCCCCAGCCCAGAATGCTGTTGCAAATACAAATCCTCAGTTTGTACATGAAATGCCCATTCCAATCTACACTTGATTAAAATGAAAAAAAAATGCATTTTAGTAGTATGCAAAGGGTCTGACATAAATCCAGGCCCTTACTCCCTATTGCTGACTGAGTAGGGAAGGAAAAGAATATTATTAAAAATCGATTAAGTAATGCAGCAGCACTCCCACTGCCTTATGTGAGCAGGCATAACAATTTTAATTCAACAAGTAAGGTAAAAGGAAACAATAGCAACCAGCTTACACATACACATTTTCATGAACAGAAATGCAACTGTATTAAATTGCCTATTAATGTTAATATACACATCTACCATTCAGGCCATAATTAGAAACAATTTTCCTAATTCAAGGAGATAGGTGTCTTAAATTAAAAAGCTAGTCATGCTTAAGGCCTTCTTCCCTGCCTTCCAAGCAGACCAGGACAAAGCCTTTCCAAAGCCTTTATATTAAACCTGACAAGCTAGGATAACTGTGTACTACCAAAGAAGAATCTTGCAGAAGTAAATAACATTAAAAACAAGCAAAGTTAGAATATTGGCTATCAGGAAATGTGGCTTAATGATATGAAGTTGGTTCCAAACTGACTATCTTCATCCCTTCCAAAGTGTGAACCACACCATTTTCTGCATAAGAGTCAGTCACTTGGAGCATCTGGAGCATCAACTGGTCCCTCCTCTTAATCTTACCATATCCCAGATTAATTGTATTACAACCATCCACTCTATACTACCATGCTTACCAAACTTTTCCACAAAACTTTCCTATAAAGCTCCTTGTCTGTCTCAGAATCTATATTCGCAACTTTTGAAGGCTATTTTATAGGTGCAGAGGGCGCAATTCTGACACTTAAGACCCAGTGAAATCAACAGAACAAGTTAATTATGACTAATTTATGTCCCACTGAAATATGAACCACAGTAATCTGATCAGATCCAAAATTATGAGTACTCTGGGTCAAATACTGCATCCATAACAGTTACAAGTTAAGCAATTTGTAGCCAATTTTGTTACCTTGTTATGTATAAATATTATCCTCAGTTCTGGTTTTATAATACCATATGCCATCAGAAGTTTCTGGATTTTTTTAATTTCTTCCTTACATTTTTTATCCGTTGAATAAAACTGTTTTCTTACAGGCAGATTCTTGAACAGCTTCAGTACCGTTACAGTTGTACCTATCAGAAACAGGAGGAGGAGAACACAAAGATTGACCTGACAGAGATAACCAAGTTTTCTTGCTTCTAACGATGTATTCTCCATTGGTACCCACATTAATATACAAGCTGAGCATTCATCTGACCAAGGATAGACATATTGCCACATTAGCATTTATTTCTATAAACCAAATGTCTTCTAGACCAGAGATCAGATCTGTTGTGAGATCACTGTATATGGGATTGCTAGCTAAGAGTACAAAATCCTAAACCACAACAGATTGTGAAAAGAACTTTCCTTCCCATTGTAGGCAATGATAGACAATGCATATGGAGCAGCTCTTGAGCTGATCTCAATGTTCCCCCACATTTAGGGCATGACTGGGAACTGACACATTCATGTGCTCTCCTCCTGTATCCACCACACATGCAACACAAGTCTTTTCTTGTCTCATAAAGGGAGGCTACCCAGCTGGGAGGGAACAGGAGCTACAGCTATGTGTCATCCACTAGTATCTTATTTTTTAATTTAATGGTAAACACAGCAATAGCAACCATTTCTGTCTTGTCCGTTCCCTCATTTTATCAGGTGAATGGGAAGACTTTCACCTACGGCACAGGACTAGGTAACTGCCAGGAATTCTTTCAATGTTTTAATTCTATTCAGATGGTCCTGCTTGTCATTGGATACTTGGAACATGGAATTTTACTTTCAGTTGCCTGAACTCCATGCCCTCGCTTGCATAATCCAACTAGCACACTATGACTGCAGTGCATATTGACTGGAATATGACCTTGGCTTGGCATGTTATGTGATCCCAGATGGCAGGGGTTTTGAATGAGGGTTAAATGCTTCTCACTTAACCCATGGTCCATGGTTGTGGAACAGTGCCTGCTACCTAGGGTCACTCGACATGATGCACCATGGCTGGACACTGAATATTCAAAGTAGCCTCCTGACTACAACCCATGATGAGCTATTTGATTATGCAAACCAGCCCCATGTATCTAGTCCAGCAAACAGACAACTCTGGGATTTAGGCCCATTGCTCTGCCCCTGACGGACATCCATTCTAAGGTAGTGCTGAAGCTAGAACTAGCCACATCATGGAATTCTATACCAGATCCATCTTGCTTAAAATAACATGTCTTGTAAGTGCCCAGTTCCTAACAGCTAGAATTTCCTAACATTTTGGACCCTGACCATGAAAAATCCCTAACACAACACGTTAAGACAAAAGGCTATTTTGTTAATTGAGATGTCTTATACCCAAAGAATTCTAAGCTGTATGAACAAAGATGGTCATAAAAGTATTCTTCTTCTCAAAATCAGCCATTAAGATAAATCCTTATCCTTGGACTTGTCATATCAAGAGAGAAGTGTTCAGGAAAGGCCTATAACAATCACAATGCTCCTACAACCCCTCCTCAAACAAGATGTTATATAAGTGCCTTTACACTTCAGGTGCAAGCAGATATGACTGCACAAGTGTTTATGATGAGGGTGATCTCATTACAAGCAATATAGAAGAGGGGCTATCGAATTTAACGAGAAAATTCTTGGGATTTAACTGTTTGGGTAATAAATTGTACGAAGTACATGCTGTACCAGCTTAAAAGCTCCACTATTTATAGCTGAAATGTATGAAACAGCCATAATGAGTGCACCATAATCAGATTTGCTTTGTTAAAAAGGTGACTTTCTTAATGAGCAGTAATTCAAAATGATGTGTCACTGAATGGCTAATTCTCACTCATGCTATATGGGGGCAGTTGGTCCAGTTAATCAGAAATACAGCTAGTGGAAACACTGGGAAAAATACATCTTTTCAAGACAATATAGTCTTTTATAAAATAATGTTTGAAAATGACATTATTATTGATGAATGAAATGCATTCTATTATTATTATTACTTGAGTGTATTTTGCTAATAAAACAAGGTCTTGCTTTATCTATGCAAATATAATTCCTTTTACTTTTTGTTTAAATAAGATGTCATTAATTTAGTTCTGTCATCGTCATCGTCTTCTTCCCCCTTTTGAAATCAAGGAATATTTTACATGTGTTCTGACAGCTAGGTTAGTGATCTTGCAATCTTCTTCACTACCAAGAAGCCATAATCTAGCACTTATGCCTCAGATCCACATTTGTTCCAGAGATTAACGATCTGCCGAAGGTCAGCAGAGGAGAATTAGGATAGTGTGGAAATCCTAAATCCTACCAGAAACCAGTAGAGAGGATTAGGGTGGAATGGGAGTGCTGCTGTGCTGCCTCAGGCTTAAAACTCCTGCCAGAAGTGTTCTGAGGCATAGTCAGCCTTGGATCAACTGGATCCAAAGTCTCCTTGCTCCCACAAAACATCCCTGGATCAGGTCAGTTAACTACACCAGTCTGAACATGCTACAGTTCATTTTTCTTCTACTAGTTTCAATGGGAATTTAAAATTTTAGAATGAATGCCATTGGTTAAAAAGCCAGGAAAAGAATGCCCCTGCCCTTTTGGCCCTAGCCAGAGTAGGAGGTGAGCAAGCACCTGAGAAATGCTAACTCCCCCAACACACCATTTGGATTGCTCTGGCAATTGGCAACTTGTCAGGAGGCTCAAGTCTCTCTCTCACTGACCCTCAAAACCACACGCTAAATTCTCCCAAGTTTAAAAAGCAGGTTGGTGGTTCATCAGCTCTTAACATGGAAAGAGCACTGGTGACAAAAATCAAAAGAAATGACTCCTGAACCAACTTTTGCATGCAAAAGTGAGAACATAAGAAAACTGCTAAATCAGACTGAAGGCCCATCTACATTAGCATTCTCTTCACGCAGTGGCTAACCAGTTGTCCACAGGAAACCACAAATATGATACTTTCTGTGTTTGTTCCATCTCAACATATCTTCAGCTGCATGCAGTAGCCAGAACTGTACAGTTGTTAGTCACGAAGTCGTGTTCGACCCATCGCAACCCCATGGACAACATTCCTCCAGGCCTCCCTGTCCTCTACCATCCCCCAGAGTCCACTTAAACTCACACCAACTGCTTCAGTGACTCCATCTAGCCACCTCATCCTCTGCCGTCCCCTTCTTCTTTTGCCATCTATTGTTCCCAGCATTAGACTCTTCTCCAGGGAGTCCTTCCTTCTCATTAGGTGGCCAAAGTATTGGAGTTTCATCTTCAGGATCTGGCCTTCTAAAGAGCAGTCAGGGTTGATCTCCTCTAAGACTGACTGGTTTGATCACCTTGTGGTCCAAGGGACTCGCAGGAGTTTCCTCCAGCACCACAATTCAAAGGCCTCAATCCTTTGGCAGAGTATTCCACAAATTTGTATAATGGAAGTATGATTTTCTATTCCTTTCATAATTAGTCCCAGTGGAGTTTGCCTTTACCACAACAGCCACGCCATAGGTTGACATTTCCATCAAGCTGTCCATCACAACCCCAACATCTCTTTTTTCATCAGTCACTGCTAGCTCAGATCCCACTAACCTACATGTGGAATTGGGATTTTTTGCCCCATGAACACTTGCACCACAATTGCCATTTTGACGCTTATTCCAGTTGTGGTGCTTATTATTTAACTAAGTAAGTTTAAAAAGTATTTTGCTGCCTCCACAATCTTTCTACAGATATACGAGCATACAGCGGTTCCATAGTGTAACATTCCCACCTCCTCTTCTCTTGGCTGTGGCAGACACAGCTGAGAGGAAATGGAGTCCCATCTTGGAAGGCCACAGGTCAATGTTGACTGTTATGAGAACTCATCCATGTGTGTAGGTCTGGAAACTATAATTTTCAGGTACAGCTTAAATCTTAAAATGTTATCTGACTGCCTTCATTTTAGCTGTGTGAAAAAGTTAGAACTAAGATACCACATCACTGCCTGAAAGGCAAGAAGAAATATAGTATCAAAGCCATACCTTGTCCAAGATGAGATGGCTTTTGAGAAATTACATGACCACTTTTATCCAAACTGTACTGGGTGCTAAAATCATCAGCCGCTGTCTTTGTTGTAATCAGAACCTACCAAGAAAGAACCTAGTGTCAATCAGGAATTTCTAAATAAATGCATATACATTCTCTTTCCCACAGTAGGTAGTATCCTATGGAGCACCTGAGGGCTTGCCATGTCTCAGCGGCTCAGTCAATTCTGTTGAGCAAGCAGGACCCACCCACTACTTGTGCCACACAGTTTAACACTTCTCAGAGGAAACAAGCAGAAAAGCTCATTTCTGAATTGCAACAGGCCGGTAAAGCTCCTGACCTGTTCTGTTGAAGAAAAAAAGTGCTTCCACTTATTTCCAGTTGGCCCCCAAGAAGTGCTACATCTTCACTCCACAAGCAGCAGACCCTGCTTGCCAAAGGGAATAGCCAGAGCACAGGAGAACTGGTACAGGCCCCACTGGACATTGCCCAGTACTGGTGCTGCAGTGACGAGTCATGATGGCTATGCTTCTTCCATGATCAGAAGCAGCATGCCTCTAGACATCAGTGGCTGGAAACAAGACTGGAAGAGAGTGACCATTCTTCCGTCCTCCATGTGGGCTTCCCAGGTGCATCTAGGTAGCCACTATGGGTAATGGGATGGTGGACTAGATAACCCTTTGGTCTGATCCAGCAGGCCTCTTCTTATGTTCTTAAGGACAATAAGATAAGGGCCTACCCACAGCTCCATGCCTATATGCTTCCACATGAAGCCTGCATGGGTTCCTGATCATGTGGAAGCCTACACATATAGTTAAACATGCGTAGGCTCTTCTTTTCTGATGACATCATTGGATGCAGAGTCAGCAGGAAAAGAGTGCACAGAAATCTGTTTCTGATCCACTCTTTTTCCATGCATTTAGTCTGAAAAGAGGTGAATTTGTAAAGAAGGTCTTGATGCTAATGAATAAAGGGAATACATGCAGGCAGATTCAGCAGCCGAGAAATCCATGCGATGCACTTCCAAAACTACAAGAGAAGGATGGTACCTTGCATTTTCCATGCTAATTAAGGAGTTAGCAGCAGAGTGACAACTTCAATATAAACACTATGCTGTCAGTGTGAAGCCATGCTATAATTTCAGAAATCGCCTTGCATCAGCTTATTTTTAAAGAACATATTACTATAGAATAGTAAGAATTGTAGAATAAGGAAGCATGTTTGGCTGCCCATCATAACAAGCAACTCTGTTACCTGGAATACTACTTATGTCTGTGCTTATACAGAACTCACAGTTATGCTTTACAGACACAGAAAAACTGGAATTCAAATGAGCTTATTACCTCCGATGTACTACAGATTGATCCCAAAGCTTCACCACGAAAACCATACATTGTCAAATTTTCAAGGTCTTCAGAAGAGCTTATTTTTGACGTGTAGTGTTTCATTGCCATGACAGGAACATCAGCTGCCTTGATTCCATCACCGTTGTCTCGCACCTCAATCTTATCAAAACCGTAGCCTTCCTATTTAACACCACCAGAAAATTATCAAATACAAAACTGAATTATGTCCAATACAAACCACAGAGACAATTGTCCAAGAGTTCTAAAGCAAAAGATTGTGCAGAATAGATCCTAAAGCTTACACATAAATTATAATACAGGGTGGCTAGACAAGTTCAACCGAAGAGCCACATACAGTAAATGTCAGATGTTTGAGAACCACGAGACATTAACAAATATTATTATTTTATTAAAGTGTGTTCTTACTTACCAGTGTATGAATTTTTAATGGGCATGATAAGACACATAGACACCTGAACACTAACTGTAGGATGCCCTTCCCAAAGAAATGAACCTTGAGAAACAAAAACTACTCAAAGCAAATGTCATATTAATAAAAAATAGTTTTTTTATTGTTGTCACAGACAGAATCCTGAGAATTATAGTTTAGTGAGAGGCACTGAGAATTCTGTTAAGACATGGTCTTCAAGTTGGAATTCTATCAGGGACCTTTGAAGGACCTGCAGAAGAGATAAGCAGCAAGAGAATAGCCATCTTCAGAGACTGTCACATAAACAACATAAATTCTCTTTGGAGCTGCAACTGGTCCCCACTCTCTCCTCAATCAGGAAGAAGGTCAAGATACCTCTTTTGAAGCTGGATACCTCTTTTGAAGTCAGTGGCACAAAGCAGGGTGGGGCGAGCTCTCACAAGGTTCCCCAGCCCAACTCACTCTCTCTCGGAGCCTCAGAAAGAGAACAGGACAGGACAATGGGCTTGGGAGAACTTGCCACACTCATGCCTGTGCTATCTCTAGGATCCAGACTGGTGGGGAAAACAGGGGGCTCCAAGCCCTCTGCGAGCCACAAAATGAACTCAAAAAGCTGTACATGGCTTGTGAGCCTCAGTTTGGCCACCCGTTACACATAGAATTTGAGCCAAACCAAATACTACTCCAACTACTAGGCCAGGAGTGCCTCGCCAATGAATAAAGTTTGTAAAATAAAAATGGATGGCTCAAGCAGTCATGCTGTACCACCCATACATGGAGAGCAAGCAGAAGGAAATATTCATATAAAAACAAAGAAGCACATATAAGCTGCCGGAAGCATCTTGGTTGGTTGAAACAAGCTAGCTTTCAACTATAAGCTACAAAGCTGGCTTATTTCAACCAACTATAATTAAGATTAACCATACTTTAGGGTTACAATGACACAATAAGCTATGGTTAACTCAAAACAGAAGTGTAAGTTTCCCTCCCACATCAGAGGAAGAGAAGGGAAGGTTAGCATGAAAGCACCACGGCTTGCAGAGACATATTCTTATAACTCTAAATCATAGTCTAAAATTATACCCTACAGCCTGAGTAGGCTGTATTTCTCCTTTATCAAAAAAATAATAGTTAACAGACACAGAACAAAACCAAAGCACAGTTAAAGTAACAAAAACTGAGCTCTATGCTTTTTCTGTGCCTGCTTACATTCTTTGAAGTTATTCTGAACCACTGAAAATAAAACTTCCAATAAGACTCTTCTGATTCTAATTTCTAAATCATCTTCAAAGTTCTGGTTTAATTTGGAATTTTACCTGCTCCACTCACCCAAAGAAATGGTTTAAAACATTTTTGTTTGATTTTTAATACAGTCCAATTCTAAACACATTTTCGCAGAAAGCAGCCTTGCTGAGTCTGGATCTCTTTCCCTTTGAAAGAAAATCAAAGCTTATTGTGCTTTGGATGAAACAATGGAGTGTGGAGGTGATAGATGAAAACAGCAAATGGTGTCAGCTGGACATATCTAGCAAGAAGGGGGTGCGATCTGGGCTCTGCTTTAGGATACAGAACAGCTCGGGCCAGCACTGCCATACAAAGAAGCACTGTGCACGCAAGTCTTTGAATTCTGTACTTTGAATCTTTCCATTTAATTTGGGTAGAAACTGGGAAATGCTAGGGAATGCTAGCTTTACATACTTTCAAGACTGGCTTCATACAGAATTTAGCAAGTGCTGTCTGTATTCAAATATGGGAAGTGATGCTGCACTGGACTTGTTAATGTGATAAATGTTCTCCAACCATTTGCAGTTTTGACTGCTTTGTACACTCACTGGATTCCATTCTTTGGCAGGACTGTAGTCTATAATTCTTTGAACAATGAAATCACTCTGGATACAAATCCCCATCCATGATTGCAAGCAAAGCACAGAAACTTTCAGTAAACCTTGTATTTGTAAAGATGTTTGGGTTATAAAACTTTCAGAAAATTCTCTTTGGTTTGGGTAAGTAGTGCCAAACAAGTTAAACAAGATGATCCACATTGTTCAAAAGGAGCAAAACCACATATAGACAACTTTGCACATTCCCCCCTTTCTCCCCTTAGAAGATTGTAAGTGCTCCCTCGAGTCCAAAATTTAATTTTTTTACCCAGGGTTGTTTTCTACTTTAATTTTCAAGTAAACTCTTGCAAACTCATGGCAAACTGAATGCCTATTTAGCAGTTATACAGAATTGTCTTTTGACAGCATCTGAAAGCACACAGATATAATTCCATGTCTTTTACTTTTGTGTATAAACTTGTCCTGTGGTACTATTTTAGACACACATAAAACTGATTATTTCCATGCTGTCAGTGGAAACGATTTCTAAATAAATAAATTGAAATCTGAACCTTAAAAAAAAAACCCAACATGCTAAGCAACCTGAATGTCATTTTTAGGAAGAAGAGAGACTCAGTTTGCATGCAACTACAGACAATGGTTTAAACAACCCCATGGGCTATCATGCATGAACAGGAGAGGACAGAAGCACTACCTCCTGTATGCCTGCCACTACCGCTTTTCATCAACAACTTACAATTGACTGCTTGCTGAAAGTGACGTGCAAACCTGGAGTACTGGATCTCCTTCCCTCCACTCCTGCTTAGAAGGGACAGGTGGTTTACCCATGCTTTGTTGCTGAGTTAACCCCTCAACATTCTTTAGCCCCTAAACAACCCAGCTTATCACACGTAATGGGTGGGTTCACATGTCACAACAAGCACCCCTCTACGGTTTTCACTGTGCACATTTTTTTTTTTTTTTTGGCACACTTCAGCAGATTCCCGCATGGGGTCCCTCTCATGTGTGGGCAGCAGAGGCAGGGAGCAACTGGATGGCAGCAGCACCTGGCTGGGGGCTGCATACCTCAGTGGATCTCCCCATGCCGTTCCTCTTGTTCATCAGAAGAGAAGTGGTTACAAGCTAACTTGAATAGTTCTACCACAGTCTGATGTATAAACTTATCTTTGGACTTCCTGGTTTACAAAAAAAAACAAAAACAAAAACAAGGAAAAGGAGAAGCTCTCCCAAGGATTGTTGTTTGCTGCCATACACACTTCAGCATCACTCACTCATCATGAGTAAAGATGAGATGGATTCTTACTTTGGGGCAGGCAAATGGCTTTTTGCTGTTTAATAAATCAGAGAACTGCTGCAAGAAGGGAGAATGGAGCTGAAAATACACCACAAGCACTTTTTTGCTTGTATCTCTCTTCTGCTTTGGTCATAATTCTTCTCCTTGTTTGTTCTTTACTATTTTCAATTGTTAGAAATTACATATTCCTTACATGGAGTCAATTATTTGGTCTTCCTTTTCTTCTTCTACCTTTGCCCACCATGATCGTCTTTGCCAGGAAGTCTTCCCTTCTCATGATATGAAGAATGATATAGGTGTATGTCTGACAGTAGTATTATACAGCTTACTCTGGTGTGGTTGTTTATAAATCTTCCCCCAATACAGTTCTACATGGAACCCTATGTATAACTTGCCATGTTAACGTCTTGTCTTCAAGAATCAAGAATAATGCCAAGGATCATTCATGGGGCACCTCTTTGACTAATTACAAGAAGGCCATAAACTGAAAACCATCCCCTTCTCACGTGCAGGGCGAGGATCTCCCGGGTGAGGTGGCATGAGTCGCTACTTTCTCGCTTCAGCTTGCCAGAGCAAGAAAGCAGGGCAGCAGGGGAATCCAGTGAAGCGTGCAGCCCACAACGAGGCACCACCACTGCCCAGCGGCTTCTCGCTCCTGCTGCTCACACATGCGGGGCAGCACGGGGGACTCCACTGAGGCACCCAGCTCCCAACAGGAGCTGTTGCCACCCAGCTGCTTTTCACCCTTGTCTCCACCTTTTTTGCAAGTGCCAGAAACTTCCTTCTGGCATGTGCAGCATGGGTGGAGGGGGGAACCACTGCAGCAGAGTTCCTCCTAATGCCTAGTAGGTGCTTGATGCTGTAACTGGCTCACTTGTGCATGCAAAGAGCTTTCCTCTGTGAGCAAGGGGGCGGGATCGAGAACCTGCTGAGCTACACAGTCCAACATGGTGTCGCTGTCTAGCAGATCCTCAACTCTTCCACTCAGGTGGATGTGATAGCAGGGGAATCAACTCAGTAGGGCTGCTCTTCTCCCAAAACTAACCAATTGCCTGTCGGGCAGGAGGGACGAGAAACAGGGAAGCCTGTGTTAGCTGCACAAAATGGCAGCTGCCAGTGATGCTCTCTGGTTAGAGGCTTGGCAAGAGCAGCCTCAGGCTGCTCATGCCAAGCAGTCTATGGTTCTAGCCTCAATACCACAAAAAATAGTGTTGAATTTGAGTAGTACACCAAGCTACCATCTGAGAAACCATAATACAGGCCATTGTTTCTGTTCATGGTTTCTCAATATCAAACATGCCACAGTGAAATATCATGACAGGGTTCAGATGACACAACAGACCACCTTGTGCAAAAAAACAACAATTGATTGCCATGATGTGCAAACCTGCTCAATACCCAACAACCCAGTTGATCCTAAGTTGTTGATTTAAAGTGTGCCTGCTTTCTCCCACTCATGCATGACAACTGATGGGATGTTTAAACCATGTTATTACATTCAAACTGGCCCAGAGACTATGGCAGCTTAAAACCATGCCTTGAAGCCAATTATTCCATACACTCTAATTCTCATGAAAATACTCCATGCTATTTCTTTCAAGATACAAAACAACTTCTATTGCTGGATACAATATATTAAGAGGAATTCTGTTGTTTCTGTCACATGTAATTTTTCATTTTTAAAAAATGTTAACCTGGGGAAAGCAGGCTTCAGAAAAACCACTAAATTTCCAAAGATACTTGATGACAAGCACCGCTTAAACCAGGAATAAAAATATGTGATGCTTGATATGTTGTTGGACTTCATTACCTATCAGTCCTAGTCAGTACAGCGAATGGTGAAAGTTGATGGGAGTTGCAATTGAACAACATATGCAGGTTACCGTGTTTCTCATCCCTGTCCTAAGCCCACCTTTTCCAGGTACTTCAAGTAAAGAGTATTCACGTTAACAATGCCTACAAGACTTGAACTCTCACCATCAAGCCATCCAGTGACCAACTGCAAAGAAATCACAGAACCAGTCCAACAATCATTTTTAGTTACAGTTATTATATGGAATCCTTCCTGGAATACATAACCACCCTAATGCAAAACATTTGAAAGTCATCTTCCGATACACCCAGAAGAAACAATTAACTTTTATTTGTTATGTGCTAAATATAAATAATTATTCTACATAACAATTCATAAGCAAGCTTATGATCACTCTTCAGACTGATGTATCAACAAAATTCAGTTTATATATTTTTGGATCAAGGACAAAATTAACACCCCTAAATTAGAGGATGATATGCTCCAAAGGGCTCTATGTAAAGCAAAGTGAGTTTTTATAGAAGTTCAACTGGCTTGACCTGGGCAAGTTCAAGGAAACTTACAGGATTTGACAGTGTAAGTGCACCACTCACTACATCCAAAATCCATTTAAGATTAAAAGTCATTGGCAGAATTGAGCTGATGAAATGTTAAAGGATAAATATAGCAAGCAATGCAACATTCAAGCATGAAAGGCACCACTAAATAATACAAGGAAACCTTTTATACCCACTGATATTTTCATCTCAACTTCAGCCTAACTCAACTTACCAACTTAACATCAACACTGGTCGCATTGGCATCCAAAGAATTCTCTATCAGTTCTTTAACCACACTGACAACTGATGTGATCACCTGTGAACTTGAAAGAAGTCGAACAGTATCTGGTGGTAATTGCTTCATTTCTTGGCTTTTAGGATCAAACCTGAATGGGAAAGTATAAATATCACACCTTTTTTAAAAACCCTTGTTCCTTGCTGTATGAAGGTGAATGTGTAAAAGTATAAAATGATATTACATTGCAACTGTCCTTCTACTGAACTAAACACCTGCTTCATATAGGACCCACCATCTGGCTCTACTTCCAAAACAATTTTTGTTAAAAATCTATAAGCACACACAAGAAGTGCAGTTCCAAAATAACATTTGTGCGGTTTAACATTTCAAGTCATGGAAAAGTTGTATTATGTAAAGTCCTACTACTTTGGGGCTTTAAAAAAACTGTTCCATGCAGGGATATCAAACTAAGAGACCAAGTCTAACCCTGTTAGAGACTCCCAGCTGCCACCAGTTGTTTGACTGTTCAAACTTTGTTTGACTTTTGTGCAGTTTTCCACATATTTTCTGTAAATTCTTCTCCTAATGCTTAATTGCTATTTGTAAGAGCTTTAAGATGAATTGATTTTTTTGCATTTTTGGCCCCTGCTTCCTTTTGCTTTCAATCCCACCCTCTGCTGAAATGCAGCCCACAAAAGCCTTTGCCTTTGGTTTGAAATAGCTTCTGGGCTCCTGGTTTAATGTGTGCAAACCAGCAAAGATCTGCATTAATCAAAGAAAAGAGGATTCTTACACTGGGATCGTAGTCTGTATGGATTACCTCTGTTCAGTTTTAAAACATCTTCTCTCCCTATGTCCCCTGGTCTGGGGAGACATAAATATATGTTCTACTGCTGCTGGAGCTTTTTTCTTTGACATATCAGCTAGCACTTCAGAACTATTCTGCTTTTGTGCCTTGACCTCCTCTGCAGATTCTTGGAAATGGCTATTAATCTAAGAGTTTCTCCCCTCCCCTTTTTCAACTTCCCCTTCCACCAAAAAGCATTTTCAAACCCCTTCTACAAATCAACACAAAAACTAGAGCACGCATCTCCACTATTGCCCCTATTGTAATGTCCTTACTTGTTTGAGGCACTCCAACCAGACTTATCCAGAATTAAGTCCAATGAAGTCAAAGTGGTTTACTTTTGAGTAAAGTTTAACTGTTTAAAAAAGGTGAGTAGAGGGAAACATGACAGAACTGTACAAAAATTATGCATGGTGTAGAGACAGTGAATAAAGAGACATTCTTATTTCTGATATTATTAGAACCTGGGATAACTTCATGAAGATGATTAAGGGCAGGTAAAGGGAATACTTTGGAGTTAAATGATAGAAATCACTAGTGATGGCCACCAATTTACATGGCTTCAAAAGCAGGCGGCACGAATTCATAGAGGAGAAGGCTACCAATGGCTACTAGCCTTGATGGCAGCAGGCTGTTTCTAGGATCAGGAGCAGTATGCCTACATACACCAGTTACTGGGAACATGCACTCCAGTCATGCTTGTAGAATCCTTTGAGCAGCTGGCTGACCCGTTTGAACAGAATCCTTGGCTAGACAGATGGTTGCTGTGATCCAGGATGGCTCTACTGTATTGTTACCTAGAAAGGTTTAGGGCAAGGAGATGAATGAAAAGGAGGTATAACATGGAAGTCTTAAACTCCTTCCAAACTTTCAAGGAGCCTTTGGGAAGATGGAAGGAGCCTTGGGGAAGGGCGAAGACAGTACTGATTTAATTCCTTGATACATTCCCCCAGGAAGGAAGGAAGGACGGAAGGGAGGGGATATTTATTACAGGGAGATGGAAAACTGTAGAGGAAGACTGCTGACTACCCTCCACTTCTGAAAAGACAGCTACTTGTTCTCCTGGTTGTGGGACTGCAAAGAAGGCATGGCCAGCAAACACTGCAGGGCTTGTTAGCTCCCTCCATACTGAGATGGCCCAGATCCTCAAAAAGAGAGGGAAAAATGAGAAGTCTACAAATGCTTAGACAGAGGACAACTCCTGGCAACTCCCTGCAGCTGACAGCAGTCATGCTTGTTTTGCTTTTTGTTTCTTTGCTTCTCCACACTCGACCATGTCAGAAAACAAAACCATTCCTCCTCCGGACAAAAGCAAAATGTGAGGGCAGGAAGAAACATTGCTCACCTAACTCTGCAGGCCAAAACCACTCCCACCAGGCTATGTCACAATACTGGAACCACTACACATTTAGCGCAGCATAATAAAAGCAGTGCGAAGGAATCTGGAATATAAAAGTAGAAGCAGCATGAGCAGAATGGGTCGTGGGTGGGAGCTGCTGTGCCTCGAGCACCATGCAAATGAGCATGGTGTGCAGATCAGCAGCAGGTTTCTGTAACTGCTTCTCTTTAAATTCTCTTGAATTTACATTTAAATGCACCTGCTTCCTTACTAATAGAATATAACCAAAGAATTGTAGAGGAATTCAGAGGTAGCTGTAAAGGAAAGCCAGGCTGACTTAACTTCTTAGTTAAATGGAAGGATCTATGTGAGAGACGCTGTAGTTTCTCCTCTACTCCTGTCATGCTCCAAAAAAGTTACCTGTCCTTTGTGGAATCAGTGTTGTAAGGCTATGCTGCAGATCACATGCCGAAACGCATAACACTGGTCTACAAGAAGAAAGCCTCAGAATTGGGTCACTAATAAAGGAAAATTTAAGTCCTGAGTATTAATTGGCTCCAGTTTCCAAGGTACAGCTTCAGGTCAAAACTGTGTCAAAATAATTCAAAATTATCATCTTTTTCATCATCTGAGTCTAGAGAGTAGGATTCTGGTGGATCTGGAACTGGCAAGTCCTCACCATGGGGGACAGGATGCAGCGTGGATGGAATGTTTGCATATCCACAGTCCACTTATTCTTTCTTGAGATCCCTTTTGCAGTTGGGGGAACCATGCATAAATAGCAGCTGCTGCTATGATTGGTGGGTTCCCTCCACACCTTTGGGATTGCAAAAGGCATGGACTTTTTCCTCTTGTTTAGCCAATGATGCAGATAAGTTGCACATGTAATGCAGTAATAATGAGGGGCCCAACTTTTGTGCTGATCCCTTATTTTGCATCTAAAATATAGGTGGTGTGCCTTTTTTACCACTGCCTTCATACTGCACTTTTGAGATGCAAATGTAACCTTGCCACAAATGCAGCAGAAGTTATTTGTGCTGTTTACACAGTTTCAAGGCATCTTGGCTTCTGGAGGAAAATATCACGCAACTGTTCCTTAGAAATGT